AAAAATGAAAATTTAATCATCACGAATGCGTTGTTTGTATATTGTATGCATGAACTTTTGGATTATAATCGAATGAAAAAAAAATATTTTTCTTTTTACTTGATTTACATTCGACGGAAAAAATTCAAAATTCAAAATGCATGTCATTATGCTTCATTGGAACGTTTTCATATCTATATGACCCATAGAAATAATGATAATTTATCAATCATAAATTTTATTATCGAATCGAATTGATGATGATGGTGATGAATTGGAAAGAAGAGTTTTCAACGAGAAAATAATCAACAACGAAATAGTAATCATCATCATGTTTTCATCACAAAATCAATTATGGATTTGTGAATTATTATTGACGCAAATTATAATCAGGACACGTACATAGATAATAATTAATCTAGATCATCTTTGATAAATCGGATGGGCCGAACGATACACGAACATCAGCATCATCAATTGCACGTGAATATTTTTCGGTAGCAGCTTCCATCGATTTTGAATTTTTGTTTTTTTAATACGATAACATTTTTTTTATAATTATATCGATACACGCACACAAATGGCAATCACATTTGAAAAACATCCGTATTGAATGATGTCGATATGAAACTTGACAATATCATCATCATCATCATCTGGTCGATACATAATGGTATCACTGAGAAAACATCAAATAGTTTGTCTTCATTTGTTGTATAGGTGTATATCATATACATTCATTATTTTTATTATAATCATTATTATCATCAACGATGATGATGATTATTATTTCATCGTTGTTTCATGTCAGTATTTTCATTTTTTATTATAGAAATTATTGTTGTCGACTTTTATCGTCGTTTCGTTGACATTGACATCAAGCCTTTTCTTTTTTTTTTTACTTCATTCCATTTTCTTTTCTGGCGTAAGTTTGTCATAATTATCATTGTTAAGTCATTGTTTTTGTTCGTGTTAATTTTTTTTGCTAGTCATTTTATTTTGTCATTTCGGGCCTGTGTTTTAATTTACTGTTGTTCAAGGTAAGATGCCACATCGATGTAGGTCCGCTATACGATCTACTGTGATGATAATCAATTACGAAGTTTGTCTCTTCATTGCATAGACAACATTTTTTTTCTGAATATATTTCAATTATATATGTTTAAAAGAATCTTTAGGCTACTGTCAATTTTGTTTTAGTGATTATAATCCTGTCAAATGCACTATGACAGTAATTGCATCATAATTTCTTGGTTTAATTTAACCTTGGAATCATTAATAATCTAGATTATTATCATCATTATATATTGTTATTATCTTGAATTATTTCAAAAATCAATCATCATATTTTGATATTATTATTTCTTGCAATTGAAAACAATTTTCAAATTTCAGGTTCAGTCACGATCAGTCACGATTGTTGAAGCAACTTTCTTACTTCCTTAAACTACAATAAAATAAATATATTTTTTTTTCTTGAACAAAATTTTAAAAAAATGATAATAATCAAATTTCGTTTATTTAATTATGAATTTCAATTCAATTTTGATAAAGTATGTTTGTTTGTATTTTATTACCAATGTAAAATTTTTCGTGGCCAAATACCTAGTAGTTTTTGTCTGATTGAAATATTTGCTAATGAATTTATAATAATTTCTCTTCCTATGACTGTAATGAAAATGTCATTGCATTACAACAAATTTGTATGGTTAGTTGGTTAAAATTAAAAACATGGTGGTTTTTTTTTACTGAAATGAGATAATCTCGTGACAATATCTATCTAAATTTTTGAATTTTAGTACCAGATCTTTGTTTTAATTATTTCTATGTGAAAGGAAATTCCCACAAACATCATCATCGTCATTATCATAAAAAAACATTTCGTTGTTGAATCACAAGCAAATGGTATTGTTTATTTGATAAACACACACACACAGCATAAATACATTGATGTCACTTGTCCACTATTTTAGAACACACAGATTTTTTATATACTCTGATATTTAAATTGACATTTTTATGTTTTTTTTTCGATTCAAATGATGATGATTTTACTGTCATAGTTTTCTCATTATTTTTTTTTTGTTCTTTTTTTTGAACAAATTCAATACATTCATTCTTTTGATTAAGATACAAGTTACAAAGTGATAAGACAGTCTATCATCTGTCTCTGAAATCAATAGATTGGTCAAAATATTATTTATATTCAATTGTTTTTATCGCCACAACTTTCTCTGATCCTTAAACTCAATTAAAGCAACGCACACACACACACACACACACACACTCGGTCATGTTCCAAAAACGTTGGAACATTCAAATATTGTTTGGCCCAAAAAAAGTGTCTTTCTGTTTATTTTATTTCTTTTTAGAAAATAGTGATGATGATTACCATGATGATTATTGTTATTTTGATTTTAGAATAAGCATTTTTGCATCGGATTTTTATTTTCTCTCAAAATAACCAAAATTTTCAAAGCATAACTTGTTGATAGTTTTTTTCCCATTATCATTAAAATTCGTTTCGAATAAAAAAAAATCATCAAACATCTCGACAACTTAATAGAAAAAAGACAACATTTTCGAATTAAAAATAATGAGTATAGAAAAATTGACTTTGCTTCGTTGGATATGTTCACTTATTTTACACCTTTTTTTTATCGTTTCGATACTGTCTAATAGATGAATGTTTTCGATTAAAACTGTCAAATGTTTTGATTCTAAGAAAAGAAAACAATCGAAAAACTTTCCTTTTTTTCTGTCACTGTTCATCAGCATATCTTTGTATGTATGTCGGTGGTTTAATTCGATGATTTTGCCGATGATGATGATGATGATGGTTATTATCGTTGAAACTTGATTCACAAAAAATGAGCCATTATTATATTCACATCTAACAGACCACCAACACAACGTTAGCTTCAATAATTTGTCGATGGTCATCATCATCATCATCATCTAGGCTTGTTTGAAATGAAAATTAAAAGTACAAGTGTCCAATTGATATCAAATATGGATATGAAGAAAAATCAAAATCTTTTGCTACCTATAAAGATGAAAAAATTCCATGTATGATCTACACTTTTCGAGTGAAAAAAAATGAAATTTGATTAGGCAATTTGAAGCGAACTATGTTGTAGTAATTTGACATATGTCTACATGGCTTCAATATTGAAAATCATAACAAATGTTCACTTGAGCAACATGAACAAATAAAAATATCTATAGCCTATAACGAAATGGAAAATGAAAATGTTTGTATTTTGTGTATCTGATGTTACAACATTTCTAATATATTTTACAAGATTGACAACAATTGTTTACAGAAAAAAAATCAATTTCCCATTCTGTTCGATTTATCTAACTTTTCTTCCGATCTTATTGTTTGTTGTTTATTCATCATCATCGATCGTTATATAAGAATCAATTATTATATCTTTTTCTTTCAACTATTTTATCTAACTTTTTCTACCATCTTGGCAATCATTCAATGATTGTGATCATCGAAAACAATAAAATGACAACATAACATTGTTTTCATTGTTTTCTTGGTTTTTTTGTTTTCAAATCTTAAATGATTATATTTTCATCATAATATGTTATATATCGGGCGTTCAAACTTTTTAAATCATTTTGAATGGTCAGATCAAACAATAGGATTGAAGTAGCAGTTACGAATGAAATAGATAAATATACAAATAAACACTTGAAACTATCACATTGTAGTGAGCAATTAACACTTATATTATTATTATTATTATCATCGAGTAGTAAAGGTTTAACACATTTTCATGAAATAAAGATGACTTGAGAAAAAAAAGTGTTAGACATTATAAAGGTAAAGGTAAATACATAATACATTTAAATCTGAAGTATAAGTGATTGAATGAATGAATTCAATCCGATTTGATATTAAATATGTCAAACTTTTATATTTTCTTAAATTCATATTGATAAATTGCAAAAAAAACAGATAATGATTATTCAAAATGAGATCGAACAGACATGGATTTTTTTCTCAATCAATCTGATCGATTCATAATCATCCGATTTATAAAACAACAACAACAACATTTGTTTTTTATGTAAAACAATTTAAGATGGATCAGTTTTTGATGATGATTGATCTTAAAATCTAACAGTAAGATTATTAAGACAAGATAAATGGAAAACTTGTTGTTCATAATGAAAAACAAAAACCAAAACAAAACAAAAAAAAACTTTTAATGACCATTGAATTGTAATTCATTCGTTACATTCATCAAAAGCAACCAATCAAAAGGGAAAACAACAACAACAAAATTAGTATTACAAAATTCAACATTAAATTTGATCGAGTTTTGATCATTTTTTTTTTCTTTCATGAAATCATTTTCAAATAATAATGACCATAAATGAGGTATTTTATTTATTTATTTTTTTTTTGAATACAGGAGTTTGGTTAGTGTGTGATTGATAGCCTCCGAAAGTGATAGTTTTAGACCAACAATCATACATTGAGTAGCTATTTTTTTTTCTTTGTTAAACGAAATGATCACAGGTAATATACCTGAAAAAAAGAAATTATCAATCCATGATGATTGTTCAATTTGGTCATTGAATTGAAAAATAGCTCGATTAGAATTTTACTTTCTTTTTGATGATTGAAAAATATTATTTTTAACATCAACTAACGATGATAATTTGCGTCAATGACTAGTAAATTTTTTTTTCTACCCATTGGATTGAATGCGATCATTCTCAGGTTTTTTAGATCAATTGTTTTCACTGTTTGAGAATATTATATCCCATGATAATTCTTATGAAGAAAAACTTATTTTGGATATTTTTAGTTTTACTATCAACAACAGTATTCGTTTCGGGACAACAAGAAAACATTATTATCAACAACAATGTATCCAACATAATCAACAGATGGTCAAATCATCCGGTATATAGTATTAATAATAATGATAATGATGATAGTGTTTCATCAACTTTATCGTCACCGAAACATTTGAAATTATTATCCTCGCCTTTGATTACTCATCAAACATCAGCCATTCAATTCATCATCATCATCATCATTGAATCCATCTTACCAGAACCAATTCATTAATGTTGCCGAATTTACAGCCAATGTATCCAAGCGATTTGATTTTATATGTGGCACACAATTCGGCTATTATCGTGATCCAGAAAATTGTGCTTCTTATTATATATGCTCGTTTGGAATTCCATTACATAAAAATTGTTCAAAAGGATTATATTTTTCTATACGTTTACAGATATGCGATTGGCCAGCTAATGTACCATGTGAACAAGGTTTGTGTTCATTATTTCCTTTGAATTTTTTTTCTATATTGTTATTCGAAAAAACATAGCTTAATTCATTTCCAATCATCATTCATATTGTATGTGTAGAACCAAAATTATCCATCTTGAATTTATTTAGAGAAAAGAAAAACAGATTTTTTTATTCACATAACAGATTCTTTTCTATTTATTGACATCAATGAAAATTGGACAATCATGTTTTTTACAAGTACACACATACACACACATTTTGATTTGTCGATCCGATGGGAGAATTGGTTTTTTTATTTCCCCAGTTTATTATCATTATATATAGCTATTATAATTATATTTCAAGTGAAACTAAAATGAAAATTGATCAATGATTGACAGTGGCTCAATTTAAGCAATGGTCATTCGATTCACTTACATACATTATCATCACGATCATTCAAATTGTCTGGTGATCTGATATGTATAACAATTTTGCAATCACAATTGTTGCTTATATACTTTAATTTATAACACTAGGAAACACTGTTGATATGCAACGATCGTTTCACTAATTTTATTCAATTACAAATTAGATATTCGGCAACAACAACAACAACAACAAAAAATAGGCGATCATTCTTTTTAGTCATATTTATTTTTTCCCGATATACACCTTTCACTTTCAATGTATTGGATTTTTCTCAAGGCGTACAACAACATTATGATTATTTGCAAAGGAATTTCGGAATAAAAATAGTTGATATAAATAGTTATGGTCATCTATTTGACAAAAAAAAAATATCTGTCTCATTATATTGATAGCCGATTTTTTCTTTTTTTTTTGCAAACAATTTGCCCAACAGGCTTACTATAGTATTAATTGGGTGTGTTGTATTGTTTGCTTCTAGTATTCGTTGTTGCTATTTTTGTGAAGATGATGATGATGATAGCGAGAAAAACAAAAACAAACAAATTCAAAAGTGAAATCTAACAGGATCATTGACAGGACTAATCAAATGCCATTAATCAGATAAAAGTTTTATTATTAGTATATAATATATTTGGCTTTACTTATCGACAATTCGATTAAATTCAATCTGATCTATTCATTGAAAGCGGAACACATTTCTGAATCTGAGTATCTGTACATCGTCAATTTTTTTTTTTTTTTTTGGATAACGATTGAAAACAATAAAATGAAAAACTTCCGTTTAAAACTAGACTTTTTTTCTCGTAAATGATAATAATAATTTTTATTTATTCATTGAAAGTAAAATCAAAATACGATAATCAATTTTATGATGCGGTTCATTATATGATATAAGTGGATTCAGTGGTTTTTTTTCGATATGAAATTTTCATTTTCATTTTCAATTTCAAATACAAAAAAATACAAATGAAATTTAATCTTTCATTCGGAACGAATCGATCAAAATTTTCGGCAAACTATGTGTGTGTGTATTACCTGTTACTTATCAAAATGTAATGATTTAATTTTTTTCCGGTTTTTATTCGATAGCAAAATTATCTTTATGTTATATTATATTGTAGTGACTATTTTCATTGTTGTTGCTTGTTATTTATTTGATTGTTATATTCATACCTATTTACACTCAGATTATATATCATCGAATGCTGAAACATCAATGTTCAATTTAATTGACGAGCCCAAATCATCATCAACAACAAGCATTAATAGTATTGTTACAACACCAGCACCATTATCATTATCATCATCATCATCAGTTCCAGCACCTTTACCATTGCCCAGTTCACTATCCAACAATCATATAGCCACTTCACCAACGCCAACATACCGGAACATTTCTGAATATTTAAAAGATTTTTTCAACAAAAAAAGTAACAGTGGTAGTGCAATTTATCATTATCCGACATCACGATCATCATCATCATCAACATCATCGAAATCTACTTTCACAAGTATGATTCAATTATGGCATTTACTATCCTTATTTATTCCAATTGTTATTAACAATCATTCTTTTTTTCTTGTAGGAAACTTGACTAGCTTAGATTTAACCCTGTTAAATACATTAGAAAAACATAGTTATGATCCGAAATTACATCACTTATCGCCAACATACGTTGTTGATGGTTTTGAAGTTCCACCGTCTTCAACTACCGTCAAGAGACTTAAAGATACCAATTTAAATAGACAGGATAAATTTATTTCACACCTATCAACCTATACTAATAATAGCCGTATTATCGATACAGGTGATACCAAATTTATGGAGATAAGCAAATTAGGTAATGATACGAACAAAAGTCAAGTAAACAACAATCAACTTTTCCAAAAACGTCAAGGATTCGAACCATATTGGACTGAAGCTGGCTATTTTACGATCGATGATAAACGTATCAATCCATTCACAATTTATGATCAATCAACGCCAAAAAGTTATTTTGATGGTGATCATGTTGATCTGCATTTAATATCAACAAATCCATATATAAATGGCAAATATGATAAATCTAATAAACGTCCGGAACCATTATATTGGTTAGGCAACAATAGTCCATCATTGCAATCGCGAAGTGTCGATTCAAATCAGCCCAAACAACAACAACAGCAACAGTATTCAAATCAAAATATATTCCGATCATTTAATGGCTATGATATCAGTGCATTGAAAAAAGGTGTTGTTGACTTTTAATAATTTTCTTTTCAATCATCCCAGGATCAATTGGTATTAATCTCGCATTTTTTTTTTTTGATTTATTTACTTTCATAGATACATCGTTGCATACGATCGAAGGTAAACTATTAACAACATTAAAGCCAATGAATGAACGACCACTTCGAAGAAAAATACCAGAGCTTTATATAAAAATCGTAACAAATGATAATTTTTCAACACCTTATATGGCAGTGAATGACAATGGCCAAACAAATCAAGGGATGATTGTATTGCCAAAACAGCCATCACCTTTATCATCAAGACCAACAGTAGAAAAAAGACTTAATTATGAAATCAATGAAAGATTACTCGCACCATTTAAACACAAAATTGAGGATAAAACATATGGTTCGATACGTTTAGACAAGAGTAAGAATTCGGAACCAAAACTTGGAATTTATAACGGCAATATGGATGAACAAAAAGTTCATTCTGATGGATTCAATCGTTATACAGATCAAAAAACCACTGTTCTTCCAACATACAAGATGATCAAACAAGTGACACATGCAAGCCGATTTAGAAAGAAAGTCATTCGTAAAAAGAAGATGAATTATCAACCATCTTCATCTTCATCGTTACCATCATCATTATTGTCTTCACAATCATTGTCACCATCACCGGCAATGGCCGCTAGTTCCTCATCTTCATCATCAAACATTTATGGCCATCATCCATCTACAAGTCTTTTGACAGGAACTTTGGTGACCGGTTCTTTCAATAATAACAATGAACAAAAAATACGAAGAAATAGTCGACCACCATTATATAAAAGTTTGGATAAGGCTACTACATTACCATTGAATTTTCCTTATGATTTATCGCCACGAATCTGGACATCATCATCATCATCATTTTTGAACCTTTCACCTACTACACCGGCTCCTATAATCGAATATACATCAGATAATATACCAGATGAACGTCCATTTCCAACAACACCAAAACCAACACAACGAAATCGGCCACAACAATTACATGAAGCAACAGGCTCATATATAAAAAATAATTTATCGAACAAAACATCGAATAAAAATGAAGATAATGTCAATCATGAACTATTTATGAAATCGATGAATGCTGATAAAAGTGAAAATGTAATGGTTGTACCGATGTACATGGATTCCAATTCAAACAAACGTTTGAATCTTGCACAATATAATAGTTACGTTGTGATGCCTACAAGTTACAATAGTAATCGAAATGAAATAAATAAAAATAGTCAAACATTTGTGTCGAAAAATGACGAAATCGCAAATCGATTCAAAAATCCGATTGATACACTAGAAGAGTTCATTAAGAAAACCATCAATGATGTTTCCAAGATAGAGCCACAAAAGTATTCTGTCACTCCATCATTTTCAACGACTACAACACCGCTTCCACCTTCATCAATATTGGCCACAACCATGTCTTCAATCACGCCTCAAGGTTTTGAAACGCCAAAAGAACAAGTTTACAAGAAAATCAAAGCCATTAATGGATATCGAAGAAGTCGTAAATATAGACCATTAATATCATTAGATCAAAACATCCCAACAAAAAGATCAAACATGACAAATTCTCTTGATTCAATTGACAAGATATCAAAAAAAGATAATGTTACAATCGCTAATCGAACTAATAGTAAAATTATAAATCTGTCTGATCCAAACACGATTACAACGTATGAGACATTGAGAAGTAATGATGTTGATCAAGATCGATCATCATTATCATCATCATCATCATCAAAAACGATGGACGATCGATGGTCATTGACCACTACTCCAAGTACCTTAATATCAGCCAATCATTTGCTGCCAAAATCTGTTTACGGTAGTCGATCAATATCATCTCCCATTCAAACAACAATTAGGCCAGAAATCTGGAAAGAGAGTATGGATATACCAACCGATATGAATACAATACCGGTGACCAGTACAACAAAAGCACCTCAATATATATTGACTAAACCAAAAAATAAACAAAAAATTGCTGTAAAAATCCGTTTGCCGAGTTCAACATCAACAACATCCACAACTACATCAACGACAATGTCACCGAAAACACAACACATACCAAAGAATTATACAGAATATAATTACTATGATTATGATAATTATGGCAATGCCGAAGATTATGACATAAATAACTATGATGATGAATATTACAATAACATGTTGAATGAAGGCAGAATGTCATCCACTTCAACGACTACAACCACGACAACAACAACAACAACCACCACTTTAGCACCGCCATCATCATCAATTTCACCATTATCATTATCTAATATAAATAACAGTAGTAAAGGACAAAACATAACAAGGTAACCCATTTTACTCATAAAATTTATTTAATATGCATTGCTTACTTTAAAACATTTAATTTATTATGTTTAGACAAGTCAAGAGACCACTGATTTATCTCAGGAATAGACCTCGACCTACAATTCGTCGTTTAGTTATTAAAGATCCTGGTGAGAATGTGAAAATAATTTCAGCTTCACGACCTCGACCATTATATCCACAACCAAAAGCATTGATAACGGCAAGTAAATGCGACAAACGTAAATGCCGTTTACCTGATTGCCGATGCGGTAGTTCAGATATACCAGGTGATTTTTCCAGCAAACAGATTCCACAGATCGTGATGCTCACATTTGATGATGCAGTTAACGATTTAAATTGGGACCTGTATGAAGAGTTATTAAATTCAGGACGAAAAAATCCCAATGGTTGTCCAATTAAGGCAACATTCTATGTTTCACATGAATGGACTGATTATGGACAAGTTCAAACACTGTATTCTAGAGGTCATGAGATTGCCTCACATACTATTTCGTAAGTATCTATTTTAATATAAATTTTTTCAATCTCTCACTGTGAAAAATAATAATCTAAATATCCTAAAAAATAAGGCATCGATTTGGAGAAAAATTTTCCAAAGATGAATGGGTCAAAGAAATAAATGGACAACGAGAAATATTAAATCTATATGGTGGAGTCAAGTTTGAAGATATTCGTGGCATGAGAGCACCTTTCTTACAGACTGGAGGCAACAATATGTTTGAAATGTTATATGAAACAAATTTCACTTATGATTCATCATTACCCGTTCAGGAGAATCATCCGGCCTTTTGGCCATATACACTTGATTATGCACTCTCACATAGTTGTAATATTCCACCCTGTCCAACGAAATCATTTCCAGGTATGATAAAGAGAGAGAGAGGAAAATCTAATTTGCCTTTTTGTTTTTGATGTTCCTATAATTAGATCAAATTAATTTATTTTTATTATTATTACAAATAGGTGTATGGGAAGTTGGTATGGTTATGTGGACAGATTTACGTGGTGGCCGTTGTTCGATGGGCGATGCTTGCACAAATCCACCAGATGAAGATGGTGTTTACGAAATGTTGATCAAAAATTTCAACAGACATTATAAAAATAATCGTGCACCATTCTCATTATATTATCATAGTGCATGGTTCAATATACAACATCATAGGAAAGGATTTTTTCGTTTTTTGGATGAAATTTTACAAAATCAAGATGTTTATATGACATCAACATGGCAAATGTTACAATGGGTTCGTAAACCAGTAACATTAGATCAGCTCAATTCATTTGAACCATTTCAATGTAATCAAGATAAACCAATCAATGAATGTAGTCGGGCAAAAGTTTGCAATGTTCATTCTAAACAAGGTTCACGTACCTTACGTACATGTCAAGAATGTCCAACAGTATTTCCATGGATCGGTAACACCGGATTTTCGAAATCCAAATATGGATAAAACAGATGAATTTATTTACAAACAAAAAAAAAAATACGTGGCAAAAAATCATTGTGATCATTCTCTGTTATCATTTACTATTGCCATTGTCATTGTCATTGATTGACATGTGACATACACTAGTCATTCTGTTTCCATTTTTGAAATTTTTTTCAAAAATATTTACGAAATTAACTTATTGTTTGAGAAAAAAAAATATGTTAAATGTTTGTAATAAATTGTTGAACAAATAAATGATTTTGACTTATTATTTTGACAATATTCATATTCGTAAATTTTTTAATTTAATTAACGCATTTACAGGTAAACAATGTGGAGATTAAGTTGTACAATAAAAAGAATTTTTTTCTCTTTTTGATGTGATTGAAATAATGCAAAAAAATTTAAACAAAACTGAATAGATAATAATTATTATAATTCATAATAAAAAAAAAAAAAACAATTTGTTGGTTGTGTGTAATAGTGTGTGTGTGGTCATAATCAAAGTTTCAAGATACACAAAGAGAGAGAGAGAGAGAATAAAATTAAAATTAGAAAAACGACTTTTGTCATATAATTTTCATTATAATTAATTTTTTTTATAAATAGATAGAATGATGATAATATAAAACAGAATTCAACTGACTACAACAATATTATTTTAATTAATAGAATTTTGTTTTGCTCATTATTTTCATTTGTATATTATATATCACATATGATTTTTTGGTCTCTAATTTTGGTCAGAGTTGTTTCAACTTTTGTTTTTTACAAACAATTCTCACTGTAATATATACTATCAGATTGATGGTTATTTAATTAATTTGCGGTGGATGGATTTGATTTGTCTTGTTATCATAGATTTTGGTCAAATATAATGATTAGATTTCACCATTCTGTTCAATTAGATTTTGCTGTTGCATTGTATGCAATTTTTTATTAGTGACATCAAGACGAAACATTTCCGTTTGAAGTTCAGCCATACGATCGGATAATTCGCCACTATTCTGTGGTTCGATATCACTTTCACTTAATTTTAATTTGGTCACATATTCTTCAATCTGGATAATGGATTGATAGAAAAAATTAATCATAAGATACGAATATCATCAAATCAAAACTTACCTTTGTTTCAAGTGAGCTTATCTTTTGCCGCAATTCGGCCACTAATTGCGTTTGTTCCAACTCCTTGATTCGTTTCATCATTTGCTGTTCTTTCATTTGAAAATCTAAATCGGAAAATTTACTTTTTTCTTTGTTCAATAACGTATGCGCTTGCCGTTCTCGTTCGAGGACATCATCATATTGTTCTTGTAATTTTTTCATCTCATCTGCTTGACGTCTGATCTGGTTCATAGTGACATTGTTTTGGGTTTCAAGTTCCATTACTTTTTGACGTAACTCTTTCAAATCAGAAAATGCTTCAGCTTCTCTTAATTTTGCTGACATAAGTTCTGTTTTGAGTTTGTTTATTTCGGCTGCTTGATCGGAACTACGCTTAACAGCGTTGAGTATTTTCAAAGGACTTGACGTAACCGACAATGAAGGTAATGGAGTTGAAGTTCCATTCAAGCTATTGCTATTTAATGAATTGCCATTTGAACCATTTTCCAAACTATTTGGTTGAGATGATTCGGCACTTTCTGGATGCATAGCGGACATATGTTCATTCCACATTGTTCGTAATTCAGCAATTTTTTCTTTCAATTCTTTAATGCTCAAATTGGCTTCAGCTTCACGTAATTTGATGGCTAACAATTCATCTTGTAATTTAGCTGTAGCGTGATCAGCCGGTAAACGACGTAAATGATTGATTTCTTCTTCGAGTTGACGAATACGCTCTCTCAATGTTTTCATTTCTTCATAATTTTCAGCATCACGCAATTTGACAGCAATCAATTCCTCTTGTAATGATTCAATCAATTGTTGATGTTCTTTGTTTTCCAGTGATTGGCTTAGTTCCCGTTTTTCTTTCAGCTCTATTATATTATTTGCTGCTTGCTCTAATTCCCCTCGTAACTCTTGCTCCAATAATTTTGCGGCAGCAAGCTCCCGTTTTATTACGAAATTATCTTCAGCTTCTTGAGCACGGCTTACTTGGCCCTGTATAAGTTTGTCCGCTAATTCTCCGCTTTCTTGTTCCAGATTATCAATCCTTTGTCGAAGTAATCGATTTTCAGTACGTAATCGCTTAATGAAAAAAGAACATAAATCAAATAAGAACTATAAAATTATTATTATATATTATCGACTTACTCGCAATTCAACCAGTTCTTCTTGCTCTTTAGCTTTGATTGTTTGGTAGTCTTTGGATAATTTTTTCATTTTTTTCTGATCATATTTAACATTGACAGCAAGATGAACTAAATAATCGGGATCGATATCGCATCGTAAAGGCATTTCTTTTTGAAAATATTTAAGCAAGCCTTCCATATCAAGTTTAAGCAAATCATCACGGCAAAGTTGTAAGATTGCAATAGAAAGACGAAAAATTATATCAATGCCTTCTGATAAGAACAGATCCATTACTCTTGTGGATAAGTGGATCGGAAGATTAGATGTAAAAAGTGTAAGGAACCATGATGATGCAAACATTGATGTATGAAAGTTTTGTTGTTGAAAATGATTGTAAAGTTCGGGCAAAAGTTCCTGAAAACAAAAGAAAAATATGAGTAAATATAATATTATAATACAATTATATTAAACTAACCTGTACTAAGCATTCAAGTTGATAGATACAGAGACCAAGTTCAGCCATGGTTGGTTTGAACATTTCTCTAAGACGATAATCATACATTAAAGCTTGAAATACTGTAAAAGCATCTTCTTCAGGCATATTCAACAATAGCAAACCAACGACAAAAGCACTTCCTTGGCAATATCCAACTTCAGAATCATAGATCGAGTATGCTTTCATGACATTAAATAAGCCGATTTGACCTATTGAGTCTTTTTCTTTGAAATATTCATGTTCGGGAAATGTTCTTGGAATGTCTCTTTTAATGACTTTTTCACATGGCGAAGAAAGTTTCAATAGTGGAGCATATTTTTCTCGTATCACAACACGGTTATTATGGACATTGCACAGCAATTGCCAGACTAAACCACGAAAATTGGTGGGAACGCCTTTACGAACCAAATCCTAAACCAACGACATATTTGATTAGATAAAAAATCATCTAAAATAATATATAAATACTACCTGAACAAGAGTTTTTTGTTTCTTGTAAATGTTGGCCCAATCATTGACTATCTGACCCCAAACTTGATATATATCATCGGCATTACCATTGCACAATTGATTCAATTGTTCTGAATTGCTTATTTCAGATGTCTCTGATGATCGTCGTGAATGGTTCGATTGAACCGAATGAAGTGAATTCAATGATTTCATATCTGTTTCCAACAGTCTGTTATGGCCACCAAAAATTGAATGATTATTAGTATACATAATAACAGGTGTAACTCTTTAGAATTGATTACTGGCGTCGGGCGTGTATCATATTATTGTAATTACCTGTTTTGTTCTTCAAGTTTTGCTAACAATTCAAGTTCTGCATTAGAAATTTTTTCCTTTGATTGCTGCTCAATTGATACTAGAAATACAGAAAAAAGTGAAAAGAATGCATAAATTATTCATCTCTGAATATATATGAATTCCTATGGAATGTAATCGATACCATTTTCATTAATCGGATCGATAGTAGTTGTAGCAGCAGCCATTGGATATAAGATGAGAAAAATGATTATAATAATGTGAGTATTGACGTTTGGAAGTCAAAAAATATTCGACTTTTTGTTGATGTTGTTTATCAGTGATAATTAGATTTGTTAAAATCGTCATTTGAACGTTATCATTAATATCCAATCAATATTTAACATGTTTTCATTTGATACAAGAGAAAAATTTGTTTTCGATAATGTTGCTGTTGTTGTTTTTTGATGATAATAATAAATGGTGGTGGTTGTGGTTGATTATCATAATCAACAATAAAAGCCAATGTATCACAGTGTTGCAATTATAATTCTGTTTTATTATTTTAGTGAGATAAAAAATGAAAAAAAACAATGATTAAATCAATTGGAACAATTATATATGGGTTTTGAAAAAAAAAAATCGATACGGTGTGAAAATAATAGGATTCAAAAATATTTTCATGAATTCATTTGTATAAATTATGCGTGATTATATACATTAAAATCATTGAAATATACTAATTTTAATTCAATTCACACACATACAGATACAGATACAGAAAAAAATTGGCATGTGAAATATTTGAATAATATTCTCAAAAAAAAAAATCTCCCGTGATTTTTTTTTAATTTTTATGACGATTATTATTATCATCATTATATTATGGCGTTGAAACATCATCATCATCAACAAGTTTATAGTGGATAGAATATTTATTTACAACAAACAGCAGCGAAAAAAAAAAACAAAAACAGAAGCGCATACAAACAATATAAAAATTATATATATACCTACTTATAATAGAGAAAAAGAGAACAAGTTCCAGTCAAAAAAAAAAAAAAAAAAAAAAAAATGATGCTTGTGGTATATAATATTTCATTATTATATAACTTGAATGATAAAACTATGAGGTCAGGTTTAATTTTAGAATCGTATGGACTGTTTGATATAACCATAAAAAAAATATATATACAATTATAACTTCGAGAGAAAAAAAAAGATATGAAATAAAATGATCATCATCATCAAAAATATGAGTAATTAATCTATTCATATACAACAGCTAGGACTAATCTGATCATCATCATCATCATCATCACCACCGATGATGTTCACGTATTGAAGGAAATGTGAAATGTTTTCAGGGCAATTTTAATCATCATCATTTATAATAATCTTGTTGTCAATATATAAAGACATAATTATCGTGGGTGATAATAATCATCAGTTTCATATATGAAACTATAAAACAAAAAGAAAAATGTTCGTGCTTTTTAGAAAAATTTTTAGATACACACGGACATCACACATACATACATACACACACACACACACACACAGTGAAATTTTTAAATAAAGTCATATTCAACAACATATGTTTTATATATACAAACACAATAATGTCAGATATAGATGGATTTTTCTGATGATGACCAAAAAGTGGCAAACGTTACCACAAAACATTGTTTGCCTAAAGCCAATGTAATGAATATATTATATCAATATGTTGAACCAATCAAAAAAATATAAACATTCACATCATATACATTTATCATAGGCACAATGAATATATACGAAACGCTGATTTACCAAATGTTTGATGATGATATTTTCGGATAAATCAATTTCAATTATTTTCAAACAGTATACAAAAACTAAACCATGGTTTCTGCAGCAAAAAAAAAATGAACAACAAAAATTATTTGTCTATGTGTGAATTTGTGTTTGTGTTTATACAAAAATTGATTCATCTGGTCGATGTTTTGTATTAGATATTTTTGACAAGCGAATGAAAAAAAAAATTTTTTCTATATTTTTTGCCTATGGATACTATACTATTCATCACACATAACGGTAAACGAATCGAATGTATAATGTAAATCATGTTATTGTTGTTGTAATGAAAAAAAAATATAAACAAATCCATTACAAGCTTATTGGTCCATTCAAAGTTATAATCAAGATTTTTGTCTCTATCCTATATATGATGATGGAAATCATTTATTTTGGATAATCAGGAAATTATGCATTTTGATAACAAATAATTCCATCATGATTCTTTGACACCTGTCATTTGGTATTTTAATTTCAATATAACAACAACAATGTACATGTAGATGTGATGCATCGTTTAGCCAATATGAATGTAAATAGGAATATTAAAAAAAAAATTGTACAATGTAAAGGCAGAAATAAAAACAAAAAAAAACAACAATCAAAATTTGAAAAAACAAAATGCCTAAAATATTCATTCATTCAGAACGAGATTAAAAACAAAAATGTCAACCAACAAAAACAACAACCAATTCGTCGATAACCACTGGTTTTTTCGAATGAATGAATGAATTATCCAAAAATAGGTTTGACAAACCATACATAAACACACCCGCAGAGTTTCATTTTTCATATGAATCAATATATATATATATATATGATGACGATAAATACTCATGAAAACCGGTCAACAATCCACAATAGATTATGATTCAAAAAAAAGACATGGTGGTAAACGGGAAAATACACAAACACACAAACTTATGCAAGTGTGTATATTATCATTATCATCATCATCATCATCATTGAGGCAATAAATATTATTTTTTCTTTCATTTTCTCAATAAAAAAAAAAATATACAGTAAGAGATAATTAGACGATCAGTTTGAGAAACCATTGTCATTGTTTGTCCATTTATAACAACAAAGATAAAGATGGCAATGGAGACGATCCAAATGATCAGACAAAGAAAAGACGAGGTGAATGAGGTCATTTTTTTATATATATATATTTCTATACCCAGATGAGTAGTTTAAAAGGGGCAAAAAAAAAAGCATTATATGTATGGATCGAGAGAGAGAACCAGGTTTATATATTTTTGTTCATTCAAACAATGTTGAACAACAACAGCAAGAAAAATCCTATTAAAGAAGAAACATTCATATAGAGTAGTATAGTAATATTAAATGCTAAAATTAAACTTAATGGATATAGAAAAAACATCATCATTATCATTATTCACAAAGTAAATCACATTTATAGAGTGAATATAAACATGTTGTTAATGTGGTAACTGTCAACGATATAGAAAGAAAGAGAAAATGTAGGAATTAATTGACAATCCAAAACAAAAAAAAAAAAAAATTGAATGAGTTAACCCTTTTTTCATGAATACTGGACATGATTAATTTTTTTTTTTTTTTTTTTGATAAAAAAACAATGGATAAGGCTTCAAAGTTAAGGAAAAATCAGGTCGTTTTCAAATCGAATCCATCATCATGAAAAAAATGTTATAGAAATTTTTATTTCCAATTGGGGAGTGTCATCTATCGATATGTATGATATGGTTGAACAGAGTGAATGAATGAATGATGTTTTGCCATTTTAATTTTAAAAAAAGGTAAAATAGTGTTTGATTATTATCCGTGTTTGATTGTTGTTTTGGTTACAAATGTCTATCTGAGGGAAAATAACGATTGAATAATATTAACTTTTTTTCATAATTCGAATAATATCATACGACGATCAATAATCGAAAATCCTCGATGCAATCAGTTTTTTTTTGCGAAAAACACTTTTTCACATTATAAGATCACATTATAAATGATAAGGCAATGAATATGGTATATCGAATGCGGAAATTTTTTTTTCATTTGAATTATAAAAATCGAAAATGATCATCATCATCATCATCATCGAAAAAACGATGTGGTTAGTCGGACATTTAGTCAACACAGGCAGCTCAAAAAAAAGTAATCGAGACTGACGAGAATGAATCATCAGAAAAAAAAATAGAAATTATTCTCACCAGAAAAAAAAGGATCATTGTTCTCAACAGAACAGAACGTATACATCAAGGTATGATGATGATACAGTCGGTATAAAATCCCGACTCTATCATCAATGATACACTGAGTCATCATCATTATTAATCCTTTTTTTTATTGAACAAAAAAAAGGAAAATTTCAACATTCGAGAATAGAGAAAAACAATCATTAGATAAATGAAGAATGAAATACAGTGGTTATATGCATTGGTTAAAGATGACAATTCATTTCAAGATGATGCATCCTCATATATGAAGAAGCTGTCATTGTCGAATATCATGGCTAGCAGTTTGATAAATTGAAAAAAATGGATCTCATGATATTTAATCAATGTACGTAATGCTTTATTATTGTATATCATCAAAATAATAATTAAATCTATGTCCCAAAAAAGAACACGCTGATAAAGAAAAAATTGAAATGCCGTTGACCAAATTCAGCATACACACACACACACACACACACATTAACCATAAAATTAAAGATACTGATTTCCTTGTTTTCATCACTCATAAACATCATTTGTCATATATCAATTTGACTTTTTTTTGAAAAGCATCTAATTTAACCCCAATCAAAACAAAGAATACTTGTTATCAGTCAAAGAAAATGGATGATAAATAATTATAATGATGATGATGATAATTGATTTTTTTTAAATTAATAATAACAATCAAACAACACAAACACATACGTTTTAAACTTGATGATGGCGAAAAAATTTTGTAAATAAATCAAGATTCAATGTAACCATGATGATGATAATAACAAAAACAAACAGACACACCCTTTTTTTAAATGAAAATTAATTTTTTCATAAACATTATTATCCATGAATATAATGTATATACACAGGAATAAAAAATGAACCAGTTTTTTGTAATAACGGTATTATGGTCGTTGACTTTGTTAAAATAATATAAAAATGATGACGTTGAAATTTTATGAATAATAAAAATGCAACACATATACACAAATTCACAGAACAAAAAAACAAAACAAAACAAACATTAATGAATCGATGATGATTATGATTATCCAATAGATATATGAATATGAATGGAAAAAAATTATCGATATAACACATTAGCACATATCATCATATGGTATTTTCATTTATGAATACAAATAATGAACGAGAAGAAAAAATGTTCGAATAACGGATATTCTATATGGTACGCACACACACACACACACACACATGAAAAATGAAATATGTCAACCATCAACAAATATATGCAATTCGGGAATTGAAAAAAAATAATAAAATTTAACCATAACTAAATCCAGAAAACGAAAAACATCAGCAACAATAAGCAGAAAGTAGGCAATTTTTTTCTCTCTTCTTGTTTCACATATTGGGGAAATGAACGAATGGTTTGTTGGTTTGTTTGTTTTGTTTGGTTGGTTGGTTGGTGTGTTTCAACATCAAACACACACACACACACAAACACATAGAGTGAGAGAGAAAATTAAAAGATAATTGAACAAGCTATGCGTAACATCAATAGATATACATTTTCTATTTAACTAGCTTGACAAGAACGAGAAATGATTGAAAAAATAAAAAATCTACAAAAGAGAAAATATGGAGGGAAATCTGGGAAATAGAAGAAAAAAGAGTCGAATCAACTAAACAAGCAATGAATGGATGACTGGCTGGATCAAAACGAATCGAAGGGGAAAATCAGATGAAAAAAAAACTTGAAAACTTGATTACGCCTTGATGCAAGTTTGTTTCAGGTTATACACACATTTCTTTGGTAGATAGAATTGTATCGTGCATATATTATTATTATTGTTCATGAATGTATAGATGATGATGATGATGTAGTGGTGACCTCCGTAGGATATTGTTATATCGAATATAACTAACTAATAACTAGCTTTTTAAGAATATAATACTTGTATAGTCTCCCGCCAACAATGATGTACAATCCAGCTGAATTGATCATCATTATCATCAACATCTAACATCATCAACGACGACAACGACGTCATCATCATACAATTGAATTTTTTTTCCAACAACAACAACAAAGATGTAATAGAATGGATTGGACAAATCTCTCCCTCTCTCTCTGTTTTTTTTTCACATTGGTTCCATATAGTTGTAGTGGTAACAAAATTCAACATATAATATGCACACATATTAGCCATCACAAATTTTCTCTTATCCGAGAACGAGATAAATATTCGTGAAAGAAAAAAATGGACATTATCAGGCGAAAACAAATCTGAATATGAAAATAGTGAAAAAATTGACCATTTGATTATAAATGAAAGATATTTTATACTTACTTTATTGAAAACTAAAGAAATCTTGATGTAAATTTTTGAACGAAATAAAAAAAAGAAAAAAAATTTGATTGTAACGATTTTTTTTTGTTGGTCCACAATGACAATGTTGTTGTCGATCACAAAAACATATAATAATTTCAACTATAGTTACCAGAAAAAAAATCTGATGGTTTTATTTTTATACATATGTTATCGTCATTCATATGTATGATTCTTGGTCATGAAAAATTATTATCATTTGATTTAAAGAAACAATGACGGTCGCATAACGGTATCGATTAACTTAGACTCATTTGTGTGTGTTTGTATACGTTGTTGACAATTGAATTGGATCCATTATCATTAGCATTGTTTCCAATGACAACAACAGTCGATCTGGTTGCTTTGACAATCATCATCATCATCATCTGACAAGAGTAACGGATCAAGAATCTTGATATATACGCGAAACACGATTACAACAAAAAAATACACACACAGTTGGAATTTATCAAAATTTACAAATAAACACTTTTGATTTTGAAAACAATTGGTTCATCAAGATAACCGTTGAATAGTTGCGTGAATTTATGAATTTGTTGGCAATGTAATGTAAGATTTAATTGCCTGAAATTTCTTCCATAAAATGCAGGCCGGATTATTGTTTTGAGTTTCACTTTCACTTCATATTTGCAGGGTTCTTGTTTCTATTTTTCTTCTCACAAGAATTCATTTTCCATTCACATTTTTAGCTGAAACTAATAATACGGGGACGGTATTTTCGTCGCAGCGACACATTTAGAACAGAAAAAAAATGATAGACCTGATTTATATAGATACAAAAATACGGAATAACATTTATTCTGAGACACAAAACACGCAGGGCGTTTAGGTTTCCAACACGATTCTGGTACTCTACTCTACTATGACAAACCAATAACAGAGCAAACATACATACATACAAGAATGCAGAATATTGATGACTGCATAATACAAAATAGAACGAGAATAAAATACGACGATGATTCTTACCGCAACCGTTGATAATTTTCTCCAAAAAACAAGAATTTTTGGCTTTTACATATCTAACGCATGCGTTTTATTCAAATTCGGTGTTGTAGATTTATTTTTACATTTACTTCCACCATTTTATGAGTGGCACTATGAAGATAAACGAATTCAAACAAAAAACAATCTAACCATTAAATCATGATTGACAATGATAATGATGATCATTGGTCGAAATTGTCGATTTGTCAATGTGTGTGTGTGTGTGTGTGTGCAATATTATTCGATTAATGAATGAATTACATTGTTAATTGAAAGATAATTTTGATTGTATCACATTTATAAATATATATGGCCATTTGCAATCATTCAATAACATGACATTAACGTTGACGTTTGTTTGTATACAAATATTGCCACGATACATACAAAACAACAATTGTTGAGCAAAAATGATAATTCTGCAATGTGAAAGATTTAATTCTGATGATGATAATCTCACATTCTGCCATCTATTGATGAAATATAAGAAAAATTCAATGTTGTTTTCATTACTTAATACAAGATGGCAGTAGTGTATATTTTTGATTAATAAAAAAAAATTAAATCCAAAAAAGATAATTTGATAAGAAATTTTTTCAATTAAAAAACGTGTTGAAAATTTTAATGTGATGATAATGGTTTTTTTAAATATTTCAAATCATCATTTATTAACATGTAATACAATAACAATCAAAATCACACTACAATATTTAAATATTATAACAAAACATTCTATAAAATGGATAAATTAATAAATTTTTTTTCACCATTTGTGAATAAATCTTTCAAAAAATCTGGATAATTAAGAATTTAAATTTCTGCAATAATCCAAAAAGGTTAATCCTAACCTTTTACTTTTCTATGAATTCTTTTTGTGTATGGATATAATAAATAAATTAATTCAAATTATTCAGTTTGGGACATAATAATAATTTAAAAATTTAAATTGCTGCAATAATCCAAAAAGGTTAGTCCTAACCTTTTTACTTTTTTTTCTGTGAATTCTTTTTTGTGTATATATACACAAAAATATTCAAATATATTCAGTTTGGGTTTTCCCGTTCAAATAGGATGTACTGTATTTAATAAAAGAATTTCGAATGGATTTTTTGTTTATAAACAATATTTTTTCGAATGTTCTTATATAATTTTTAAAAATTGAATTACTCAATATTTGAATAGAAAAAAAGTAAGTATGAAATTCATTGAAATGATTTTGTGAAATATTTCCAGCAATTTCTTTAATTAGACTGATAGTATTCGAGTTAACTGAACAACAGAGAAAACAAGTTAAAAAGAGAACCAAATGTCATCGAATGATCAACAATACATTAAAGATGAACGAGAGATTGACCAATATCGTAAACATTGGGAGATTGAAGATCATTGGCAAATGCGAAAGAGTTTTATGCTAGCTCATTATGATCATATCGTCAAAGATCGGCTCTTGTGTTATGCACAACTTTATGTCAATATAAAAGTGCTACAAAACGAGTAAGTACTTTGAAAAAATATGATTGGCATCAATGATGTTAATATATAAATGTATAGGTACGACCAAGCATTAATGAATGAAATCAAAGCATTGGCATCGAAGATCCCTTTGGCTAATTTAAAATCAAGGCATTGACATTGATTCGAATAATAATAAAAATATAATAAACATAAACATGTTTACTATTATGCTAATGAATCTATGAATAGGGTTCACCTTGAACTTGATCTTAAGTCATCGAAATAAAGCATCATGAATGGCACGCAATCGTGTACATGCTTTTGAAAATATGGAAATGCCCACCTACCTAAATAGGACAATTGTCGTCATCAATAAGTTGAACATGTGGGGCCATCGGCCATCATCTCTTTGAGATCATCGTAATTGGAGACAATTTTTTCCTTTTCTTGTTCCAAAGCAAAAGTTCCAGGAACTATATATATGGCCCTTTTTCTCTGGATGCATGTCATGCTTGAAAAGATTGAGATTATATCGTCCACTAACATGGACGGCTCATTTAGCTCATCTAAATCGAGGTTACTTGGCTATCTCTCCTTAGATATATTCCCTGAGCCTGCAAACAATTCAACAGACATCAACAACATTGAACTTAATTCATTCAAGTCAACTCACTCATTTCGTTTACTAGATAATTTTATTGTTATCGAGAGAGGTCATGGTTTTTGTCATTGTTTCATTTATATTTAAAAAACCGAATATATTGCGTCATATTATTGCACATCATTTATTACCATGATAAGCCTCAATGGCAGTTGTATAATTAAAATTAACATCAAATGGACATCGATCATTTTCGTAAGTTATATTAGGATAGCATTCTTTGAGGTTTTGTTCGTGAAATTTTCGATTAGCGATTGCTCGTTTCAAACGAATATCAGCAGCACGTGCCATTAACCGGTTAATCATTTGAGATTTACAAGCCCGATTGAAAAGGAAACCATAGATTCGGTAGAGACATCGCTCGCGACGACTTTGTAATTGATAATCAAATGGATTCAACTCGAGAAATAGTGAGCAATGACGCATCAAGGCGTTATAGCTGAGATTTGGATTGATACGGGCCATTGCAATGTTGATTCCTTTACTCATTTCGACACCAGTCTTTTCACTTGCCGAACGAATTACCGGTAACCATTCATGAAAATAGATTTGACGGCACAATTCAAATGTTTCTTCATCACTGCCCGAACATAAGTTGTATAGGTCATCGGTACCAAGACAATATCCGATGACACGCCAAAAGTGGAACATGGCGTGAAAGTCTTTTTCGCTGAAATTATGGAAGCCAAACTGATGATGAATAATTTGACTTATTGTTAGATTTGAAAAAATACAGGTAGTTTTTAAAATTGAGACTTACCTGTTTAGGGAATACGGTCATCATGCCGACGAACGAGAATTGAGCATGACACATTCCATACTGTGGTATCCATAGTACAGTTTCACCATCTTCCTGTAATCCAGCCTCAGTGTTCATCCTATTGGAAACATTTTGATGCATTCCACGAACCATTCGAAGAGATCGATAAGCTTTGCTTTTCTTGTCGAATGGATCATGTTCAAACCAATTTGTCACATGTATCGTTGTTGATAAGTAACGAACGAATAGTTTGGATATGGTTTTGGAATTACCAGTCACCAATAACGGTACCAGCCCGTGTGTGAAATTCAACACCAAATTTAAACCAATCAATTGACTGATGGAAATTCTAACCACATTGATCAAGGAAGGGTAGTAGGGCAATAATGGCACTCATTGATCATTTGTTGATTCAATATAGACAATTAAGAAAGCACACTCACATCACTCGATATGTTTTGAACAATTTTTGTGCATGTTCGAATGAGGATTTTTCAAACCACGGTGGTGGAGTTTCTGGATCAACATTATACGATACACCACGGGCAGTTTTACCTTTTGTAGAAATCATACGACGACGAGCAGCTATTCTCTCAACCAATTCCGGTGATGGTGATGTATTTAAATCACAGTTCATCATGATGGTCAGGTTGCACAACACTATTCACAAGGAAATGGTATATGTCACTATATACCGAGACCAGGATTCGACAAACAAATGCTTATCAATAGGGATGTGGCCTTCCTTTTTATACATGGCCTTAGTGTGACATACAAATTGGCTCAACATGATTTCAAAACGCACAATCTCTGCAATATCTTCGAATGTCGAAACATAAATATATACATCGACACAACCATAGACATTATAATGGAGAGGATTTTTTTTTTGTTTTTGAACAAAAAATTTATTTAGCTTCCCTCTCCGAATACTACGTGTGTGATCGAAAGAGATAAATATGCTTTGCTTCTCTGTGTGTTTTTGTGTGCGTGTGTTCTAAATGCTGCCATATTAGGATCGTTACATTGAAAGACATATATTTGAAGATTGGAATTTGTATGTCCCACAACAACATATGACATTCAAACAATCCTGAAAAAAATGTATTATATGTTGTCATTTAGGCATTATTTGGGAGAATTATAATCGCTTCCCTGTCGAGAAACCATGTGCTCTGGTATGTATTGGCTGCTTTTTGATACTAGTCGCAATTAAATATCGATCCTGTTACTATAAGTTAACTTCGATGACAATTGTGTATAAATACATGCAATGAACCGTGCAAATTAGTGCAATGAACTGATGTGTTTTTGTGTGTGTGTGTGTGCACTTTGCTCTGAGATTGCATATATGAAGCATCAATTTGTCTGTCAGTGACATAATTAGTTTTATATCATCAATTCAATAAATAACAATTATCACAATATTTCTATTTACATGAGGATAAATCAATCAATATAATTGTTATTTTCCCAATATCCAGCGTGACATATGTTCCCAGATTTATTATGATGATCGAAAATTTTATATAATTATTAGCGATCCTCGCAACAACGTTTCCAAAAATCGATGTTTATGTTTAACAAGGCCGACATAATGTCCGCTTGGACATTAAATATCTTGATTTGCATTTGTTTGTTATCATTTTCACTCACATCCGGACATCGTATCAAATGTTTAGCGAACACATCCATCAGAATTTGTTTTGTAATATGGCTACTATAATTTCTGACCAATAAATGTTTAACATGTATCATGAACATTGCCAAAGCATATCGATGAATGGCAGCAATTCCATTACTAATCGATTCTTCAACATATCTGACTTTCTCTTCATTTGACCATTGATTACCTGAAATCGAGAGTGATCATCAATCAATATATGATTGCTACTACACTTATTTTATAACATACCGGAAAGTTTGGCAAAATCATTCCATTGATGACTTGGTATGAGCGAATCATCAAGACGTTTCAACATATTAATGACCATGGCACAGATAGTGTTTATGTTAAGTTTACTTATGGCAATGGCTGAATTGCTTGGACCAAGATATTTGTCCAACAATTTACATGCTTCTTGATCATTATTATTAGTTGTATATAGATATCGATGTTCTATGCCTCGTTGCTCAATTTGACAAAAACATTTTTTCAACAAAACAATTGCATTTGAATTTAATGCAAATTTTTTTTTCAATATCGGTTTACAAGCAAGTATTGACCATTCAACTTTTATCTTTTGATGACAATTTTGATCAAGTATAAAATCACATTTAGTACATTTTTGATAAGTTTTGAGAGGTAATATGGTATTATTACATAGGTAACATTTTGAGAATTGTAACTTATTCTGGAACAATTCGAAATGATGGAGTTTTGTCATAACATTCTGGCCAATATTGGTAGCTGATTCAGAAGAGTTGGGTTTATGACAATCATCAGAAACGAATGCTACAGGTGAAACAGACAAAGATGGTTCAAAATCCTTTCGATTGACCTTCAAACTTGACGTAGTTGGGATTGAATCAGACAACAATTGATCATCGAATTCGGATTGTCTTGATTGTTCATTCGTTATCATATTGTCGTCATTTTCTACTTGAACGGTAGCCAATTCATCAGTTGAATTGTCTGATTGGCCGCCACCATCCCTTGAGAGCGATATCGATTTCTGAGGCTAAATTTGATATCTTGGTACGAATTCCTATCAAACTATCTCGGTAACCATTTGTTTCTGGCTGAAAATTATTCAATTCATTACGAAGTTCGATAATCGATTTTAGCAAAACTGATTGTTTACCATCGGAATTACCGAAAGATACTGGATAATCGCCTGACAAAAGAGTTTCATATGAATCAAGTAATGAATTGGTTGCTGACAGTAAATCTATGAAAACACATTTATCGTGATGGTATCAAAATAATTAAGAATAGTTAATTCATACCTTTACGATTGGAAAGAATATGTCCGAAAACAATGTCCAAATCTTCCAACAGTTTATTGGTGTATTGACGTTTGATATCTCGATTCATAGCCTTTTTGTAAACAACTTTTCAACAATAAAAACGGTCATTTATTAGACTTTTAAGGCTGCCTTTATATAATATTTTAGAATGAGAGAATATTTACAACAATTAAAGGGGTCTTAATAATTAGAGATCTAATTTGATTATAAAAGAAAATGTTGGCACAATGTTGTGTTGTAGGAGTGAGCAGTGAGTAGGCGACAGAGCATTTCGTATTTACAATTTTCATCATCACATTTGTTCTCATCGCCGATATTATCGCTTAGATTGTAGAAATAATGATGGAAATATTTGAATAATCGGTTCGATTCTTGCATTCTACGAGCCGATCTTTCTTTGCGGCTGATCGGTGTTCGCATTCGCATGACCAATCGATGCCATTCCGTTGGTGACAATGTTTTCATTTCGTAAGCTTGGCGGGCTCGATATGATAACCGATATTGTGGGGGCATTCGATCTCGAGCTAGATTTGCTTCGGTTAAATTGAGGAAATATGTCTCATGGTCAATAATGTCGAATGTTTGTTGGTCGATAACATAGATTCGATAGCCAGGATTGACATTTCCAAATGTAGTCACGCTAGGTCCAATGTAGGCCACGTTAGTTGGCATGTAAGTTGTTTCATGATCCGAATCCAACTCTGGGCGTACTTCTCGGTAAAATATTTCAAATTCATCATTATGGGTATGGCCAAAAAATTGTCCTTTGATGATTGATGCAAATCGATTGATGATCTGGTTGTAATTCATACTCCATATTTGAGCACAATCATTTGAACCGGGTGGTACATGTCCAATGATCTGCACCTGCGGTAACAAAAAAAAAGACTATAAGCTATCAGTGCAAATATCAATCCGGTAAACAAACCATTTCGCCCAATCTTTCCGATTCAGTTAGTTGCTGTATGAGCCATTCTAATTGTTGACCAGGATCGGTTGCATTCAATAGAACCCACCAATTCTGTGTGTTACAAAAATTTGTATTCAACGAAATGATTTTCAATCCTTTCTTAGCTCGAGTAGCAAAATAAGCTCCCCTGAAATGAGAAATATAATTCATTGAGAAAATTCTAACACAGTACACTGAGATCATCATACCTTTCAACTGTTGAACGTGTGTCTGATGGCAACCAACGTAACCATATCGATGATAATCGATCATAAAGCCATTGTTTGGAATATTTTTGCTTGATCGCCGGATGTGAATACAGAGGAAAACTGTTTAACAGAGAAAAATAAATTTTTTTTTGGTCATTGTCGATTGGCTTACAACAAATTAATAAGAATACCGACCTGTTCATGGGTAAGCTTTCATGATTACCGACTACCGGATATATAGGAACATGACTGAAATATTTGTCAAACAAATGACCAGCTATGTCGATATATTCAAGTTGACTTTGTTTTGTTTGATTCCATATATCATGAGGTGGAATATCACCAGTCCATAGAATGTATTCAATGTCCGGATGATTTTGTCGAATCCATTGAAATGTTTGGTCAACTAGTCGTAACGGTACATCACAATCTCTATAATCACCCCAATAACCGGCACGATGTGATGTTTTTACCTTAGTTGTTGACGATGTAGACGGGGGAGAATCAGCCCGACAGCAAAGAGGTTCGTTGCATACTGCATTAGAATTTTCCCGATATTCAAGATCTATATGAAGATCTGATATCTGCAACACTTTGAAAGATTGTTGTGCTCGAAATGGCCAACGAAACAATGGTTTGGTGAACAAGGGTCGATCAGGCAGGCGGACATTCCATTTGTAAAGCGGATGAGCAACCGCATTGCATGTTTCTCCCAACAAAAAACCACACACCTCATTAGAGCTGATATTCACTTGTGACATGACGACGACGAATTCCTCCTTCAAGAAATGAGATATTCATTGGTTTAGAATGGTGACAAAATACCATGAGTCACAATACCAACAATGAAGTTGTCCACGTATCCATCACAGACACGATCCGTTTGTAGGGCCAGCGTTTTGCATAAGTATTTGGTTACATAGGCCACATCTTCGAAACCTCTTCCATAATCGATTAAATATTTGATTCCGGTCATCGTTATCTTACAAGCCAAACACGTTCCAGATGATGATCGTCCTTGTTGTACATTTTTGACCATCTGCTTCAGGTTCAATAAACGAAACGCTTTCTTGAGCAATCCTATAACCATTGTACTGGTGCTCGAACCTTTATCAGCATTTGGTGAAGATGACGGTGATAGAGATGGTTCATTAGGGTTCAAGTGGTTATCAATCCAATTTTCAGTTTCATATCGATCGTCCATTTTAACTGAGGGCTCCATCTTGTCCAATGTGATGACAGTCTTTACGATGCCATTGTTTTGAAACTTTTGATCGAATTTTCATCAATACGACAATTCACTTGGTTAGATTTATTTGATAACAATATGAAACAAATATGAACAATGATCAGAATTGCAATGTTAAATCGATTCATTGTATGTGAATAAGTTGTAAAAGATGGATTTTTCTCAATTGAGTAAGAATCGATAAAGGGCGATCTTCAATAAAAACAAAGTCTACAATGCCAATGATAGCATGGCATAATGGCATTGATTGATGAATGAGATCATGTAATTAAATATCGAATGATTTGTTCAAGTTTAAATATTAATTCATAAATCGATCCAGATCTAATCGTTATTTATATTATTTTGACCTTTATAATGAATCATGACCAATCAATTAATGACAGCAACAAGATATTGTATAAAGTATTGTAACTGGTGAACACGAGGTTGCCGGGTGCCGTATCAATGTAAAAGTTCAGTCACAAAGCAAAAGCAAATGATCATCTGACCGACTGGTCATTCAAAATTCAATGTCAAAGAGATTAAGATTAGTTGTGCATGTGAATGAAAACAGGCAACATTTTCTTAGCTGATCAATGACGATTAAAGCGCTCTCATTATCATTCGATTGAAAAAACCGGATCAACCGTACGAATTGATATGCTACAAAAAGAGGTTCTCGCCGGACTAGAGTGACGTTCAAACTGGCCAAACATTTCCGTATTACTCATACATACTTACGATCAATAAGGTCAAGGACAAGGTCTTATCAACAAACATGTTCACTATTATGGTATCATAGATAAAATCGAAACATATATCCATAGCATTGCATCGAGGTTACCTACAAGAGATAACAGCTCATTATCGATATTAATCATCAACTAAAACGACAAACAAACATCAATAGCTAAGAACGAAATCATCAAACTTTTGGAAAATGGTGCGAAATAACAAAATTTCACTTGTTGTTGATGAATAAAACATTGAAACGATCCAATCACATTGTATATCAATAAGATATAAAGGTAATAATAATTTATTGATTTTTGAAAAAAATGAGACAATATATACAAAAATATTGGCCAGCCAATTTAATTGTTTGAAAATATACAGACACATTATTATAGTAAATGTACAATTTAGGTGGGCATTATGCTTTTTACAATTGTACAAAGTGGTCATCAAATTAGCACGAAACAAAGAAAATCAGTTCAAATAATAAAAAAAAATTACATTTAACAAAACCAAAAAAAGGTTATCACAATTCGTGTCAATGGTTGAGATATGATCACTCAATTTAAATTCTGTCCATGATGATTAAAAAAACCCAAAAATGTCTATAGCTGATGTAAAGCCAGACTTTTTGTCTGCAGAAAATGAACTATCTCGGTGAATTCTGGACGAGAATCTATCGAATGTTGCGTACATTCGACAATCAAATCATAAATATCATCAGGACAATCTTTCGGTTTGGTCAATCGAAGTAGGCATTTAGAATCATTGGAATCGTTGAATGGATGATTGTAAAAGGCTGAAGAGGAATCGCACATCTTTCAACAAAAAAAATGACATTAATGGTTTTCGTTAGATTTGATAAATTGCAAGACAAACCTTTTCCACATGGTCATCGTTAAAAATCTCAGACAAAAGTTCATCATCACTGAGTAATTGATGAGGCAATGACTGACAGTATTTCATAATCTCCCAAAGAGTTACGCCAAAGCTGAACACATCACTTTTGCTAGTGAAAGTACTTTTGATAACCGTTTCATAGCTCATCCATCGAACAGGAAAAATTTGTTGGTAATATTCATTTTTGTAATCTTTGTTCGAGGCACCCGTATCAGTGATTTTAACTTGAAGATTCTTTTGATATATGAGACAATTCCGAGCGGCTAGATCACGATGAAAAAAACCATGAACATGTAAATTTTGCATCGCTTCAGCTATTTGTCGAGCGATTTCCACCAATTGTCCGATCCTAAAGGAATATTGATTTTAAAAATTAAATAAAAACAAATTAAAGACAAATGACACTAACCGTATGAGCGATGGTGAACAGTTACGAAGAAATTTCTTGAGATCCATATCACCATATTCAATGACCATGGCAAGATAGTCATATTTGGATATGTAACCATACAACCGAGCAAAAGTATTCTGGCATTGATTCGATAAGTGCCATTTTTCGTTCATTTCTTGCATGAATTCCTGTTGAGATTTAAGATCGTCCGAAGACAACGTTTTCAAAATGACCAATTGTTTGTCATTTTTTCGGCAGAGATAGCCAAGCTCACAGTCACCGTATTTGTTATAACCAAAATGACCATCGATAATGCTTACTTCTTTGTCCTTTAACAAGGGAACCGGAAGATTTTGTGGTGAGCCATTGCGGTTATTGTATGGAGTATTCTCATAGCTTTTTAACGAAGACGATGGTGTGGATGAATTGAGTTTCAATACTTTCGATGTATTTGATGATAGTGATGATGGGGCTGATTCGTGTTTGGGAAAAATTTGACTTGCAGTGCATCCAGGAAGTGGAGCAACTGGTACTAGCTGACTATTTCCATTACGATTAACAGCAAATATATTGTTTGCCAATCCAGTGTGGATAGCGTTGGGAGCATGATCACTGCCATTGCGTAAGAGGACATCGGTCGATGCATAATATCGAGCTTTTCCATCATCTTGGTTGATCATAGTTTTAGTAAACGAGGAAATTAATGGTTGAGGTTGGCGGCTCATGATTAGCAATGAATTACTGGTTTTGTTCGCCATAAATGTTGAGGGTCCATTGCCGATTAAATCGGGCACAGCATATTCGGGATCTGGACTATTATTAGGAAAGCCTGTATGATGAAAACGATGTGGCTCACAATAGATTGCAGACGGCGAAACATCTTTCATTGGAACGGTCGTATATTCAGAACCTGCACGAAAATGGGCAATCAAATATGAAATGAACGGTCATTCAATTCGATCGCGTGAATACTAACCAGTTATCTTTTCTTTTCGTTTGCGTGCCAACCATATCAACATGATGATGAATATGACGATGAGTAGGGCAACCATTATTGCAGAACCAATGAAAAGAAATGGCTCTTTATATAGAATATTCCTATGTGTGCTGCTCGAGGTTTGTATAGCAGTCGTAGCAATCGGTCGACTGTCAACGAAATCCAATTCATTGATTGATAATCCTCGATTGATGGGACTGGAATCAAAGGTGACCTATTTGGAACACATGTGATCAGAAGAATAGATACAAGAATTGTTAAAAACATACCTCACTAATCAGCAGCCATTTGGCAGCGAATCTGAAATCGAATTTGATGAAACGACCGATACGATGATGAAGATGAACGACTACATCGCGTGCTTTCTCTACAACCATATCGGGCATATAAGCAAAATCTTCAGGAATCGGTGCCCATTGTCTGCCATCTAAACTAAACCAGATTTGTGCCGAATGGAACACTTGTATATCCTTGGTGAAAATATTATGACAATGGAAAGTGGCTGCGGTAAAATTGCGAATGTCAGCAAAACGGAACGTAATTGATACAACACTTTGTGTATTTGCTTTCCAACCGATCCATTCGAATCCTTTATTTACTTTATAATTATCATCACCACGTATACCATCTACTAATTGGCCAAGTCCATCGCTTAAAAACCCAGTTTCTGAACGATATCCATCATATGTATGGTCAATAAGATCACCAAAACGGCCATTCAATTGTCCGTCCATCATTGAATAGGAAATTGGGCCATCTATGAGAGCAAAAGAAAAGAGGCAAAGGTCAAATTCAAATTAAGATGTAGATGGATGATACGAAAAAGTTACCTTGATAAGGACAGCCATAGATTTCAAATCGTAAGCAGCAAGTTCGGGTATATGATGAAACGGGCAATAATCGTATGGCTGTCACAGCGACCAATGGAATGGTTAAAATATTTTCAACAATCGAATACGTGTCCATGTTTCCTTGGATATCCTGCAATTTTAGAGATAAGAATTTTTTATTTTTAAAAAAGAATGAAAACAACTTTTCTAAAATGAAATTTTGGAATGTTTCCACCATAAATCATTGGCCCCCAAGTTTGAACTGCGTTCAGGATCGTTCAGAAACCAACACATTGACAATGATGATGATGTTGGCAAGCCAAATGGATTTTATAGTTGCTCAAGCATCGGGGCAGCAGTTAATCGACAATGTATTTTTGTCGGCGGCACAATGCCGAGCCAGTTATGATTCAATGTTTCTGGATGACTTGGCTCTAATCTCAACATTCCAATGAAATGTCTAGCTCATACAAACAACATTAATAAAAGGCCAAATTGATTTGATCGAAAAAAGAACAAAAACAAAACAAAAGCCAATTCCGAAACGATCAAATTCGAGTCAGAACGATCAAATCGGTAGTCAACTTAATCAAGCTGGTATATTGTTCGTGTCAAGAACAACAAAACGAAAAAAAAATAAAAAATAAACTCCGATGAAATGGATGGCTTCGATGACGATAGACAGAATTGGATTCAGGACAGTATATTCAATGCAGCAGTTAGAGGATTTCGATTTCACAGAGAAATAGTGTAGCGAGACCAATTCCATTTGTTTGGTTCAAATACAATCGAATGAAAAAACAATGAACTCCAATCCAATTTGGCTACGGATATCGTTAACATTATGAAGGTGTATGTATGTGTGTGTATTTCGTGAAATGAAATTCTTTAGATGGAATGGCTGTTTTTTTTTTTTTTTTGTTTTATGTATATGGGACCACATCGATCATCGTATTTTCAAATACATCAACTACCTCTAATACTCGTCGTGGAAGCCATCCATAATTTTTATGCTATGATGGATCTCAATTTGAATATAGGTCCTCAAACACAAATGCACATTATCCATATATATATAAAATATAAATTTGGGATAACATACACGGGATATACAACAGATGTTCCGATTCAGGCCCCTTGTGTTTCGACATACCACACACACACACACTTGGCGACAGACCGCATACACTTCATTTCCATGCATATTGACTTTTTGTGTTGGTTGTCACAAATACATTCCATGACAGATTTACATCCTACGAATATTGACTATGAATTGGAAGCTATAGATCAGGAAATCGAATCCAGATAGAGGATCGATTAATGTAAATTTGGAAATGTTTATAAGAGAATCTAGTTTCAGCAAATCAGTCCAGTACACGAGAGAATGCATTTGGGACATTTAATAAGAATAGAAAGAAGTGAACATCAAAGATTCTTAGTGCTGTGTACTTCTTGGTAATTTAATTCAATTAGGCCAGCTATGCATATTCAGAATAGAAAAATCTTGAAGTGTCTAATTTAGCCTAAGTGCTGATGGTATAATATGCAAATATTCGAATTACAAAAAATGGCGCCATAGGTATGAGCATCCATTCTCAATGGAGCGATTTACAGCTCGACAGAAGCCAATTAGTAGCTAGCTAGCTTGATTGATCCCATCCATATACCATAGTTGTTAAGGCAGGAATGAATTCAAGTTAAATCGACAATGCAAATGTTTTGTATATGGAATTCCTCCTGCTGCATCGTTTTTACGAATAACGTACATTTGGGACCGGGAAGAATGCATGCCCATTTTCAGTGATAAGTAGAAAGGAACATTCTCATCATCATCATTTGAATCGCTTTGTTTGAAGCGGTTAAAAATCAATTTAGCTCGGCTAAAATGAATTTCATGCTCGTTTGACGATGACATCAAAATGATGGCCGTATGTTCATAGTCATAGAGAAACGAAACATATCGCCATCATCATCTTGGCTGATTGTCATCTTCGTCATCCATATTACAATTATACAAGCAAATGGCACATTATACTATACTTGACAGAATACGTGTTTAACATGATAATTCTACAATACATAAAACACATACGTTGTTCGGTCACGGTGATATTGATTTGAATTGTATGAAATAATTTCTACTTCATGTGATACAATATACGCCCGTGGTCTATGACTTTTTGTTGTGGATCAACGGTTTGAAATCACTGATATAGACTAGCATTATGTCAATCAAGAGGAATGGTTTTGATGTATGTGTCTTTTAGTTGTTGCTGATGACCAGTAACCGGGCAACAGATATGGTGTATATACTTACAAATTCTCCATATGAATTGCTCCAACGAGTCCACTTGATACCATCACGAGAATAGTTGAGCCAGAATACTTCGGCAAATTCAACTCCCATACCGTTACCAAATCTTCCTTGTGTGGCTATCTTGGTAATCACAAACGGTTCAGTTAAATTGATTTGAATCCATTCGTGACCGGAATTGGTTTGGTTAATTTGACTGGATGGACACCATGCTCCACCATTTAATTCACGATTCAGTCTGTATATAATGACAATGGTTTAATCAAGGCAAACAAACACACACATATTACAATTACAAACCTGGCGTTTTGTGGTCCAACACTTTGTTCATTGTAGCTAGATGAAGCACTGAGTGCTGAATCGGGTATAACACCGGATTCCATACCGAGAGCATTGATTCCATTCGGCTCACATATGGATGTAAACGTTTGTTCTAACACAAAAAATCAACAACAATGAAAAATATTAAACAGTGTGAATTTGGGAATAACAATCCAATTAACAATGAGCCAAGTGTGAATATTGTTTTGCTGCTGTTGGCAATAAAATCAATTATAGTGATCATAATAATAGCTTCAAGCCAATAATAGTCAACTCTAATGATGATGGCATACTATCTTTCACGGTAACATCACTTCTTTTGTAGGTTTTATCACATACTACTTGGCATTTTCGAAATTCAGATATTTAAATTAAATTAGCATCCATTCACAATTACAACCTAGTCAACCCATGCAGTTAGCCAGCCGGGAGCCATATTTTATGTACATTATTATTATACTTTGATCTAGCTATTGCCAATCAAAATTTTACTGTCGCACAAATTTGACGATATAATGGATCCAATGAAAAAAATGAAAAAAAAATCGATTCAAATCAGCTAAATGAATGAATACTACCCGGGATTTATTGCATTCAATCATTGCCCAACAGGGCCCAAAGCAATACAAGTGAAGAAAAAGCAATGCAAGCTATATGCAATCTGTGACAAAATATTGATAGTTATTAAAACCGGATATGGCAGATAGATAGGTTCACGGGAGCCATATAATATCATGTCGTTAACGGTGTTTTAATTGTATACAAAGCCATTAGTGTAACATGTTAAAGGACGAGTTGAACATGAAATTTTAAATCTTAGAGAATAAATGGCTAGATTCGTTTAGTGAAATCTTTTTAAACAGTAACATACACAAACAAACAAAACACACCGTTAATGTTCCCATTTTTTTGTGTACAATTCACAACATTAAATGCCATTCATTAGATGCACGATTCAAAAACGATCTAAAAAGTAGAAAAATGAACAATTTTAATCGGCAATAGAATGAATCGATGTAAAATTTTTTTTGTCAACGACAACTTTGGCTCACACATATAAAAACACAAACACACACACGCAAACAGGATCGATAAAAGTTTTTTTAAATTGATATTTGAACAAAAAACGAATGAAACGAAAAGAAAAGCCCCCTTCCTAGATGAAAGTAAGAATGGAGCTAGAAAATTAAATTTTATTCTTTTGCAATGTCAAACAATTTATTTTGTTTTGACACACACACACACACACACACACACACGTTTGTACATATAGATTCTAAACGATTTTCGAATATGCTGGAACAATGGACAGACACAGTGTTCACGATTCATTGCCAAACAATTAACTCAATAGTGGATGTGATGATCAATCATCAAACAATGGGCTCATCACTATTTTATCATTTATGTCGATGGTAGGGTTACAATGTATGTATGGCGTAGGTACCCGGGTATTGGAATCTGGCCATTGTTTTTAGGCCTGATAAATCTATCATTAGGATCTATCTATCTACTGGTTGAAAAAGCAATATACTATCATGATTCATCAACAATGGCTGTAATTAAAATATTTCCCCACTCGAATTAATAATTAGATTTTTTTTTTTGATGGGACCATTTGATATTCGGCCAATCGGACTAGTAACTTGATACTACACACACATTGGCATCCGTTGACATTATCTGCTGCTGCTACTCATTTTGATCATGTAATCGAGAGAAGTTTTTTTTGTTGGCGGTGGTATATGTTCGATAAGTGTCAAGTTCAGTGAGCTGTATTGTCGTTACATTTGCATACGTTTGGAAATCCACAATTTTTTTTCTGGCCTGTCATCAAGCCATAGTTGACATTTTGTTTGAATGGAAACATAGAATGTATAAAGAGACAGACAAAAAAGAAGAGAATGAGAATCACTTCACTTGACATACACATGAATGACAGCCAAGCCGGTGATCATCGTAGCTACCGTCGTCTTATGATGTTGGATGCTTTGCTTCTATTATGAACTCTGGTACACTTGTCTGTCAAATAGGATTTCTGATCTCTCAACAACAACTATAAATAAAAAAAAGATGGCCTAGACCAGAACATGGAAGACTTACAAATATAAGACATCGACAATACAAACATTGATGATCAAAGAGAGAATTGTGTATAAATTTTGTTTACATTTAGCTTATTATTGAGTATGGTATAGAATGTCCAGCAAGAATATAGCTATCGAGCCCAGTCAATAGCAAAGGGAAAAACCAAATATTTACATTGGCATTGACCAAATAAAGATCCATACTAAACATTTAACCGAATCTAGACGATTCAAGAATCGAAGAATGATCATCTATGCATGCTCTGCTATTTTGATGTTGCGATTGAAAAATGACTTTAATTTTCAAAGATTTCCGTGCCAATTGCATCGGATACATTTAAATCGACTATGAAAAAGAAAGAGAACGTGCCAAATCAATTACATAGGCAGCCAATTGGGCCGAACGGCAATAAAAAGAAAACTCAACCCATAGTTTGGCATTTGATAGAATTGGAGTTGCAAGATGGTTGGATATGGCGAATTCAGGATATGTTTTTATGCGGATCGTTATTCAAATTGGCTAGAATTGGCGAATGGAGAAAGAGATCCTAGGCGGATGCTAATTATATAAATTGATGATTATATTTCATAGGCAAACGAGTCAGTTAGTTTTTGAGCTTGAATGAATGCTAACATAACGGAACGGGAGAAGCAGATGTTCAGGCAATTAGTTACAGGAGCTATTCTTTCTATTTTACAACATTCATAGCTATTATGACCGATTTATGGATCAATCAACTAAACCACAGTTAAAAACTGTGTTCAATAGGTGAATGAATGTTATAATGCATACTATTTTACATACCGAGATCATTGAAGGATTCGAAACATTCAATGTGGCCAACATTTGCCAAAAAACATACGGTCAAAAGCGCGCACCATATCCAGATCAGGAAAATTGAATTGCAGCTGACAATAAGTCGGTTCCAATATTGATGATGATGAACATCTATGAAATCATCTTGATCATGACAATAAAGCTTTTTGACCGTTGTTTTTGTTGTTGTTGATAATAATGATGATGTATAAGACAATTCATTGACCCGACCGATCGATAGCCGTAGGTCATCTGATTGACGTTTGAAAGATGATGCCATGTTTTGGATAAAACAATCATGTCACACACACAAGGATACAGCACCAAATTTAACAATAAAGGTGCCAAAATTTTTTTTAGCTCAAGGGTAGCACAAATAACAATTGCACATTGTTTACAAAATTGGGTACACCAGTTTAGGAATAAAATCACAAAATGGAGAGATGAAAAAAATTATCCTCTCACTGAGATGAAACAGAAAGAATGAAGATGTGATGAAAAACGGTGATGTGATAAATCGAATTGTCAACTATGGATACAGAATTGTAAGAATCCTATAAAATTATCGATGATGCTCAACAATAATCGCGTGACCATGTGTCTGTTCGACCCGTTGCATCGTCTTAATTATAATTAATATATCGAGTTCAAATTGTGCTGAAAATGGCGTCAAATAATACCAGACTGAAAAAAAATGAAATTCGATATGACAATAACTTTGTTCTCGATGCTTGAATCAATGAAATCAAATCCTTCGTTGATAAGATGGGCTGGTTAACTATGGGTGTTGATGGATGAATGAATGGATGGCCGATTGCAAATCATATCATTCGAACCATCAAGGATGTTCATAGTTGGCTTAAATGATGGCCTGTAAAAAAATGACAAAGAAAAAATAAATAAATTGATCAATAATAAAGAAATGAAAATGAAAATATGATATTGAGTTTATTTGGATCAAAGTCCTAAAGTCAAATGACTGAAAATAAAAATTTTGGCCACAAAAAACAAACGACCGATGGTCATCTGTAGCTAGTGATAGGTTATGGTCAAAGCATACCAAAAACACACATGATGGTGTTATACGGTTGATTATTTTTTCATATGGCCTCTTAACCAAATGCTTTAAAATTTAACTAAAGCAATCGGAGCAAAACGAACAAATTGTATTGCTCAAATGACTTAATGTCACCAATGAATGTATGTAGGCGTGTATGAAAACAAAAAGGACCTTTCAATCAATCAAATAAGAAAAAAAATAAGCATTCATACATTACGCTCTTCTCAATCATTGAAAACTGACATCTCTACCATAGTCTACAGTTGACCCGTGTCAATGGTGGATAGACTAGCAATAATCTGGTCATTGCCAATCATAAATCGCGTATGGTGTATACATCTCATCATCATCATCATATACATATGGCATATTCTCGTTTTGGATATGGTTAGATGACGACAATCCAAGAATGGAAACGTTTCTAAAAAAACGTTGCCTGGATGCCTGTTGCCGTTTTTCACTAATTTTTTTGTGTGTGTGTGTATGTAGCACTTGCACTTAAAATAATTTTTTGTCAAGTGTATATTTGTCAATCAAATACAATATATATGGAATCAAATTAGGTATCACAAGAGTTGTGATTAAATCAACAAGTCAAATATTTTTTTTTTAAGTAAACCAAACTAGACCATTTTTTTGATTGCTAGGTTCTTATTTTTTTTTTTTTTTTGGTAATTTTGGTCTGATATTTTATATTATAAACAAAGAACATATGCACCACCCTATCATTTATGAATCAATGAACATTTGTTCATTTCGGTCTGTTTTTATGTATTGGTGTATAAACAATGTTGTTTATGTCAACATTCCATTGTATGCAGCAATTGTATACACACTCTCATCAAATTCTCAAACAAGTGGATAAATAAATTATTTCACAAATGAAAAACGCTTTTGTTGTATGTGTGTGTTCCGTTTTAGAATGGCAATATATAATAATAAAGCAAATCGGTTCCAATATACAATTTAACAAACAACTAAACAGACTGACTAACAAACAAACAAACAAACAAACAAAAATCAGCCATGACAGCCATTTAAAACAGAGAGAATGGATAATGAATCAAACAAACTTTTCTTTCATTTTTTTTTTTTGTTTGTTTGTTTTTGTCTAATCGATTTGTTTCGACACATTTACAACCTAATCAATTCCACTAAACGGATTGAATCGAATCGACCGGAATCGATAAAAACAGATAGTTGTTTACAAACAAGTTGAAAAAAATTGGTCATTCTAGCAATATTCACTATAAGAAATGGTAAAACATTTCTAACAATGTTATCAAATATAAATGGAAATTTTGAAATTCTACCCGTCTTTTTTTTCTCTAATGTTTTCAAACATATGCAGAAGCAAATGGATCGAACAAAATAAAAGTGAATCGGAATGAATGATGGCCCTCGGGCTTATTTTATTATTATTATTTGCTTATTTCATTCATGCCGGTTATATGGCCATAAACCAAAGTAGATGAAAAACGAATCATATATATATTGTTTATTGATAGTAAAACTGAGATTTGAACAAGAAAAAAAAAAAATACCGATAACAAAAAAAAATGAAGCTATCATCATCATATTTGTATTGTACAAAGATATTAGTAAAGTGGAAATAAAAACAAATTCACATTGTACCGAGTGTGCACACCAATATTTTTGGGTGATGAGTGATTCCATCACCCAGAAGCAATATTTCTAATGATGGAACCTATACATACATAACAAAAAAAGTGAATGGCCCATTAACAGTCTCACTATCTTTCTAATGAAAATAGCAGTTTTACTCATATGAATGAAAGCTATATTGATAGTCGAATGGCGATGATAGTGGAATAAAATCACATCGATAGATTCATGAAAATAGCCTCGAGATTTGTAAAGAAAAAAAAATCATTTGGATTCATTCTTTGCAAATATTGAAACTATGATTATTTGAATGTACAAAATAGAATTTCTCGTTCGACAATTCAACTTCAATAGTGGACACATTGGAATTTCCGTTGAAAAGTTAAGATTTTGGGTATTATGTTCATTGCTACTGAATGTGTGTATGTATGTTTATGAATTAAGTAGTGATCGAATACTCTATCTAGATAAAATGGACAGTGCTCGACAGATGCTGTTATTTATGTTACGATCAAATATATTTTCGCTCAATTGGCTATTGTAGTCGTCCACTCTTGTTGTGTGTGTGTGTGTGTGTGTGTGTGTGGTCTTTGTTTTGTGTTGAATTTATCCATTCATTCTGATCACGATGAGTTATGTTTCACATTTATATTGGGGTTTGCAATCGAAAAAAAACTGGTCATTCAAAACAATTTTTTCCCTCTTCAAATCCAAACTAAAAACAATTGAACTTGGTGAATACTGTCAGGTAAGTGTAAAATGATGATGATGACGGTGAAAGCATCAAATCATTTGGAATTAGAGAAAAAAACCAGATTTTTATTCCATTTGAATGGGCACACAGACACAAACATATACTTCAAATTGGATTAGTGGAAAACATTCACACAAAAACGACTGAGGATTCGCATGTAAAATCACATTATTTATCTCATTAACAAAATATAAATGTCTATTTGGCTATTTGGAACGAGGAACTGATATGAGGACAATCAATTCATCAATGTCAGATTAATCAATTAGTTGTATATAGAGAAAAAAGACAATGTGGATAAATTAATTTTGTTTCAGCCTGTAGAATTTAATCTGTTTATATGAATGGAATTCAATTCAAAATAAAGGGCAAAAACATTGCTAGTAACATTAGATGGTCACATCGGGTATTGATCTCATAATTTCAAGAAAAAAAGGAACGAAACGTGACAAATGATTTTAATGTTGGTGCTAATTCTTTAGAATCAAAATGATAGATACACCATTCAAAATAGGCCAAACTCTTTGTGTGTGTGTGTGTGTGTGTGTGTGTGTGTATGGCACATAATATTTCAGCCAATTAACAGTTTTGATCGAGAACAAAAAAAATCATCATAAATATAATAAGAATAGACAAGTAAAAAAAAAAATGGCCATAACCATTTGTCATGGACCATGTTTTTCATTCATTATATTCGTGATTCTCATCATATCACATAGAAGAAAAAAAACGATAAAAACGAAATAAACTTTTGAAAAACCTAAAATTAGAACTTACTGCCAATACCAAAAATCTTGTTTTCATGAAAGAGGGGAAACTGATTGTATCCAAATCATCATCATCATCATCATCATGTATTTTGGTTGTGTAAATTGCTATAGATTATTATCTTATACTTTACACAACATTGACGGGCAATACATAGAAGAACATTTTATCACAAACACACACACACACATAGAAAATTCAGACGAAGAAATGGTTGAGTTGTTTTTCCAAAAGAAAAAATGAATGAATCAAGATGCTTGCATTCAATAGAATCAATGCCGACAGATTTTCATAAATAAAACAAGAGGATATCAAATATGATAAACAATCTAGATATGAAAAAACGAAAAATTGATTCTAATTAAATGAACAATAACTAGAAAAAAAGGTCAGATCAGTCACAATTGATAAAATAAGAACAAGGAATGTGATGCATTCCATTCCATTCATTTGATTTGATTTGATTGGTGGAATATAAAAAAAATTTTTGAAAAAAAACATAATGAAATCAAAAACGGGGTATCATTCATAACCATGACAAGTTGATTCATATGATTTAATCATCCACCAACTATCATCATCATCATCATCATCATCATCAGTGAATGAAACAATTTTAATGTGTGTGTGAACTGAATTAATAGCGAATAGATTGCATTATATGATATGATTATGGTTATCGGTGTGTGTGTGTGTGTTTGTGGTTCTATTAATTGAACCATTTATTGATATAACGAGTACATTACTAAATTCGATTGAATTGCCGATTTCACTGATGATGATGATGATTATGGTGACAACAATGGATATATTATAAGATGAAAATGTGTGTGTATGTGTGTTAATTTGACAATCACAACCAAAATAGTGATGGTGGCCATACACACACACATATATTACCCATCCCTAACATATCAGTTTAAAAGTAAAAGTTTGTTTGTTTGCTTGTTTCGATTCAATTAATTTCTAAAATGAATTCTCAAACAACATAAAACTATCTAATAATAAGGCCAAGTGAACCAGGAAAAATCGATTAGCTTCAATTATTGTAGAGTTACAAAAATGATGATGATCAACTGAATCAAATGGAATGCCAAACTACAATCGAATTGTGATGATCGATATAAATCGTGTGTCGAATCAAACCAACGGAACCATATATACACAAACACATACATATACTAAAGTAGAGTTTTCTGCTTATTGTGCAAAAGTTTTTCCTTTTATTTTCTTTCAATCATTCATTACCAACAAAAATAATACACACACGCAAGAATAGAACATTAACACTATACTTTTTTTGGATTCTTGTTGTCGTCAACACAATAGACAAGGTAGATTTTTTTCTTGTACAATAACAAGATCAGCAGAAAAAAATGGCCACTAACAAGCATTGATCCACAATATAATGAACACACAATTCAAGAAAAAGAAAATTGGTTCCATCTGAGACAGTGGTACAAAGAGGTAGCATCAATGCTATTAGTGATTAACTATCGAAAATGTTGAAAATGGTGAAAACAAAGCGATTGTTGTTTTTGTTGTTGTTGTTGTCAATGTGAGTGTATATGGACAACAAACGATGTGGCCCATTAATTACTATTGTCCTAATGTCGTATGGAACTATTCTCACACACACACCACCACCACCACCACCACCACA